CCAGCCCTACAAGGGAAATTTATAGCGGTAAACACCCCTATCAGGAAAACACAATGGGCTCAAACAAACAACCTAACATGGAACCTCAAGCTTCTAGAAAAAGAAGAGCAAGTCAAGCCCAAAGCTCATACGAGGGAGGGAATGATAAAGATCAGAGCAGAAATTAATGTCATGGAGACTAAAAAAAAAAAAAATAGTATGAATCGATGAATCAAAGAGTTGGTTCTTTGAAAACAAACTTTTTGCCAATCTTATCAAAAAAAAAAAGGAAAGAAAAGACTCAAACCCACACAATTTAGGAATGAAAAGGGTGAAATCACAACAGATCCTGCAGAAATACAAAAGATCATCAATAACCTATACTTCGAGAACCTGTATTCTAATAAGATGGAAATCACTGAAGAAATGGACAGGCTCCTAGATATGTATGAATTACCAGAACTCAACCAAGATGATATAAGAATTCTAAATAAACCAATTATCAGCCAATGAAATTGAAGATGTAATTAAAAACCTACAAATAAAGAAAAGTCCAGGCCCTGAAAGATTCACTGCTGAATTCTACAAGAAATTTAGAGGGCCGGGGATCTAGCTCAGTGGTTCTGGCGCCTGCCTCACAAGCACAAGGTCCCAAGTTCAATCCCCGGTGCCAAAAAAAAAAAAAAAGAAAAGAAAAGAAATTTAGAGAAGGCCTAATGTTGCTACATCTCAAACTCTTTAATAAAATTGAAATGGAAGCAATACTCCCAAATTCATTCCTGGCAGCAACCATTGCCCTGATACCAAAAGCAGAGAAATATCCAACCAAAAAAGGAAACAATAGGCCCCCATCTCCCTAATGAAGATAGGTGCAAAAATTCTCAAGAAGATACTGGCAAGCAGAATCCAGCAAATCATCAGGAAGATTATACACCATGACCAAGTAGGATTCACCCCAGGGATGCAAGGCTGGTTCAACATACGCAAATCAATAAATACAACACATTATATTAAGAGAACCAAGGACAAAAACCATATGATCCTCTCAATAGATGCAGAAAAAAGCACTGACAAGGTCCAACACTTATTCATGATAATAATCTACAGAAAATTGGTATGGATGGTCTTTACCTCAATCTGATAAAAGCCAGCTATAACAAACCAAGAGCCAACATCATACTAAATGGACAAAAACTGAAAACTTTCATTCTAAAATCAGGAATAAGACAAGGATGTCCACTGTCACCACTCCTGTTCAATATAGTTCTGGAAACATTAGCCAGAGCAAAATATGAGAAAGAAATAAAAGGAATAAGGACAGGAAAGGAAGAAGTTAAATTAACATTATTTGTAGATCACATAATACTCTGCAAAGAACACCCAAAAGGCTCCACCACAAAACTTCTAGATTTAATAACCAAATTCAGTGGCATAGCTGGATATAAACTCAACACTTGAAAATCAATAGCCTTCTTGTACAAGAATAACACTCACTGAGAGAGAAATTAGGGAAACAACACCTTTCACAATAGCATCCAAAAAAATGAAACACCTAGAAATTAATCTAACAAAGGAAGTAAAAGACCTCTACATTGAAAACTACAGTATTCTGAAAAAGGAGATTAAAGAGCATATCAGAAAATGGAAAGATATCCCTTGTTATTGAATAAGAAAAACCAATACAGTGAAAACTGTCATACTTCACAAAGTGTTATACAGATTTAATGCAATCCCGATCAAAATACCAATCGGATAACTTACAGAATTAGAAAAAAAAAACAATACTAAAGTTCATTTGGAACCAGAAAAGACCTAGAATAGCAAAGGCAACAAAGGCAAGGCGGGGCGCAGGGCAATCTCTGACTTGAAATTATACTACAAAGCTACTGTGATAAAAACAGCATGGTACTAGACATAGAAAACAGACCCAAGGATCAAAACAACAGATTAGAAGATGCAGAAACAATTCCAAATATACTAAGCCGGCTTATCTTCTTTTTTTTCTTCGCTTCACAAATGTCAATTTTATTGACACTAGTGCACAAGTGAGTACAATAACTGTGAAAGAATCGGAACTTGTAGATAGAAACAGTGACAACATATTAGAACTGCAATTGTTTCAAGGTACTACACTATTCTCTTTAAAAAAAAAAAAAATCACAAAAAGAAAAATGTTATCACTCCAAATAGGAATTAGAAAAGAGAAATTCTGGCATTCCATGCATTTGTGAGTTGTGGTTTGAGAGTCACTGTTTAATGTGTCCACCAAGGATCCAGCAAAACATGGGGGGGCTTCCTGGGGGTGCTCACTCCATGTGGGGGGTCGGGAGAGTAAGCCACCTTATCTTTGACAAAGGAGCCAAACACCTTCACTGGAAAACAGAGACTCTCTTTAAAAATGGTGCTGGAGGGCCGGGGATTTAGCTCAGTGGTTCCGGCACCTGCCTTGCAAGTGCAAGGTCCCAAGTTCGATCCCCCATATCAAAAATAATAAATTAAAATAAAATAAAAATAAATGGTGCTGGAAAAACTGGCTTTCTACATGCCAAAGACTGAAACTAGACCCATATCTTTCATCGTGCACTGAACTAAAATACAAATAGATCAAAGATCTAAATATTAAAAGAGAAACCCTAAATCTGCTGGAAGATAAAATAGGTAGGACTCTTGAAGATATTTGTGTAGGCAAAAACTTTATGAACAAAACGCAAGTGCACAGGAAATATTACAAAGAATCAACAACTGGGATCTCATTTTATTAAAAAGCTTTTGCACAGCAAGAATAACCACCAACACAGCGAAGAGACAACCTACAGTGTGGGAAAAAAATTTTATCAGCTATTCAGCAGACAAAGGACTACTATTTAGAATATATAAAGAACTCAAAAAAATCAGACAACCCAGATTTAAAGACCCAAGCCAAAACTGGGCATCTGAAATGAACAGACATTTCTCAAACGAAGAAGTAGAAACACCAAATAAATATATGGAAAAATGTTCAACATCATTGGTCATTTGAGAAATGCACATTAAATGCTGCGATTCCATCCCTGTCCAGAAAATGGCTGCTATCAAGAAATCAACCAATAACAAATGCTGGTGGGGCTGTGGGGGAAAAAGAACCCTTCTCCACTGCTGGTAGGAGTGTAGACTGGTGCAATCACTGTGGAAATCAGTGTGAAGATTTCTTAAAAAAACTAAAAATAGAAGCTCCATTTGACCTATTCCCCTTCTAGGTATCTTCCAAAAAAAATTTAATGCATTATTCCACAGCGATATATGCACACCCATGTTTACAGCAGCACAGTTTGTTATAGCCAAATCTTGGAAACACCTGAGGCCCATCCCTGATGAATGAATAAAGAAGACGTGGGGTTTTTTTTTAGACAATGGAATACTGCTCTGCCATAAAGAAGGATAAGCTTCAGACATTCTAGCTAAATGGATGCACTCTGAGACCATACACTTAAGTGAAATAAATCAGACACACATGTTCCAGTATTTCATTGTTACTCTAGTGTAACAAACCAAAAGTGTAAATAAGGACCAAAAGGTATGATAGATATTGGGAAATGGGAAGAACATGTTCAAATGACAAGGAGAACAAGGGAGGAAGGATAGGAAAGGAAGGAAGGGACAAGAAAAAAGAATAGAAGGAAAAAATGCAAACAAAGTTTTTGTAAATAAGGAGGGGAAGAGGGGTTAAAGGGAGAGGAGAGGAATGGAGAAAAAAAAGCAAGATATATCATGTACAGGTACAAATTCCCTATGATGAATATTATCATTATGTATATCTAAAATGTACCCATAAAAGCATTAGTAAAAAGAAAGTGAGCTAGGTTTAATAAAAATGTAAAGGAAAGAAGAGTACATTTAGTACAGAGATATGGCTAGAATTCTTAAAGTGATGAGTAAATGGCCCAAGTTTGAAAACCTTGCCTGCTGACCAAAAATAGGAGTTCTAAGAGTA